GACGGACCACAACATAGCCTCCAATCGAGGTAGGCCCGACTTGAAACCTTCCTGTGCTTGAACATTCATGGTGTGAGTGATCGTCGTGCTTCCGCCAAGCGTGCATTCGTTGGTCTCAGTTGATTCACTATAGCTTTGCAAACAATCCAGTGTTTTATTTCATGAGTTTGGTCAAATTTGGACTTAACTGGACTGTGCGGCGCGTAAGAAAGCGAAAAGAAGAAAACCGCCCTGAAGTGCTAAACCCCTCAAGACGCATTGATCTACTCGCTCGACGTTGGGAGAGCCTAAAGATGCGAGCAAGCTAGGGTTAAGCGAATGAAAATATAGTCATGATAGGTATCAGCATACATAGGACTCCTGGCCAGGAAAGCAAGATGTCTTCCTCGGATATTGGATTTTGTTGCACTGTTATGGGGCCAGTTGAGACAGATTGGGCAAAGAACAATATAGCAGCGACGACGAGCGAAAAAAGGCTGAACATCGTATTTCTGTCCGAGGGAGAAGAAGAGGCGATAGTTAGTTTCAAGACATTCTTCGCTTTATATATGTCGTTTACAATGTACCCAGAGGAAAGCGTGGGTACGTTTAGGACTACAATGTTCAAGAATTTTAAACCTAACCAAGATAATCACCTAGTATTTGAGGTCTGTCAAGCACCTATAGGCACTTATAGAAGTCAAATGGCAAACTAAGCCGACAGCAAGACTAGTTACATTAGAATGTCGGTACATACACTAGCCACCAAAGGTCTTGCAGCACGTGATGCCTCTGCGTCGCAATGGCTGTGACGGACGGGATATCTACTTCTACGCTTAGTGGTGCTAATATAGAATGCGCGCCAGTGTCGGTTGTACATACAGACAAAGTTACATAAGATTCTGTTAGTTCTGCGATGTATTATGAACAGATCTTTACCCCGAGTGCTGCAAGACTTTTTGAAATTCAGACTGCAGTAGAGACATTATCACGTTTCTTGTCAATTTCAGCAAGTATCCAGCCAATTTGAGTCAAGCCAAGTGCATGGGAGATGTAGGGAGGGTCTCAGTAGTAGATAGGGAGATTTCTACGTGTGTTTATCCAGTCGATAAATGTGCATACATGCACTTCTCTAGGAGTGCATTTCTCCCCTCTTCAGGCCACCTGTTGTAGTTCAGGAAACCTAG